AACCCTGTCATGCCACATACACAAAACTGAACAATGAAAAGTGAGCTAGAATTTGATCACATAATAATCTCTTTAATTAATGTAAATCTCCCTTTCTTAGTGGAATATTAGATTTTCTGGCCTACTTACCCATTGGAATATATGTGTGTATTAATTATTACCATTCATTGCTTATCTTTTTTTTTTACCTTTACAATGCTGCCACAGGGTAGCTTTTCTTGACCTCTTTCAAAATTTGGCTTTTTGGCATCTAAAGTTTGAGAAAGTAAAACAATGGGGATTGTGGGAAGGAAAAACGAAAAAGAGAAGAAGCACAATGATGCCAAACATTTGAGGCACTATGGAAGTGTGGATATGGATATACAGTTGTAAATGAATGGTATATGATTCATATTTGGATACTTTTTGATAATTAGATGGGATTTCTCGTGTTTACATGCTTACAAACTCTCAATATTAATAGTCGATTAAAGCACATAATATAGTTAGCATGTGTAAACTTCAAAGTGATAAATTTGACTTTCATTTTGAGGTGAGAATATATGTGGCATCTGTCACGGATGTTCATTGTGTCAAAGCCTTCAAAATTTCCAATCTTCTTTTGGGAGGTGGGATTCTGCAGATACAGACTTTTGCAATTGGTTGGTTAGGGATGCCAGATTTGGGCATGGCTGAGTTTAGAGAAATCAGAAATCTCTTTTTTTCCTCATTTCCTTTGCTTTTTATCTTGTCGTACTGTGGGCTTGTGGCCACCCCCCCAATTATACATGGAATGATGTGCCTTTTACTTCTTGCCAATGGGGTGCAGGAAAGTGTTGTTTAACCCTTTGAGAAACTTACCCATTCTTCAGATATTGACATTGTAAATGATTTCCTTTTGGCCACAGTAAGTAAGTTGATTTTCATTGCATTCTAGAAGATCAGAAACAATATGTGACCTAACCAAACAACAAAAGGTATCAAAGTGTATTGGGCCTTGGCTTTTTGGGATGTGGAAAAATGAACTTGGTTAAGGCATAAAACTTGGAGAACTTACGGAATCACAAATGATATTCAGGAATCCTACCACTGGTTTGTAGGATATTTTCAACTTTTGAAATCAGGATCAACGTGATGTAGAACGATAAAAAGCAACATATGATACGACTCGTTTTCACCATACTGACTTACTAAATAAAAGTAACATATATAATAATTTTCTTTCCACTAGATTGACTTACTAGTTGATCTCCAACTTTTACTAATAGTACACTGTGAAATGTCGATGATGCTAATTATCCTCTCCGACCTCTTTAGACATTACTGTCTTAACTGGATTACTAGAAGAGTGATCAAATCACATAATGAAAGACACTTCTCGTTGTAACACGAATTTAAACGGTGATCATCAAATGCATGGTAGTTCAATAATATGCCCAAACTATTTTTCTTCTTCATATAATAGAAGTCTCGACCCACATGTTCGAGGCTACCCGAATCCCTATAAATACCTGCTAAATAGATTGAACTTTAGGGGTTGTTTGTTTGAACCTCTTTTGGTGGGAATCGGTCATGGACTTTGAAGTTCATGATTTGTGACTAACCTCTTTTGTTCGAACCTCTTTTGCTTTAATAAACTTCACCCTTATCAAAAAATGATTTGTGACTAACCTACCTATCATATTTCCTTTCTCTTCTATATCAATGAGGCCAATAAAAGTCAATTTCGCTTTATACATACAAATCTAATTAACAAAATCCATTATGAAATATGTGAAACAAACAATACCGTATTCAAGTCCATAATAAACTAAAACCCCTTATATATTCATAGAATTTTCAAAAATCCAAATTTTATCAAAACCTTCATTTTTCAAATCCACAAAATACGCTATCTATTTTCTTTCCAATCCCATGTCCAATGTTATGATTTTTCTCTTTAGTAAAAAAACTGCGGCTGCACATGACACCAAGCACCAACTTCCCTTGATGTATGGGGCTAAAGAATTTTGTTTGGTTGTCCTTACTCAAAGATGGGGGCATATTCGAAAGAAGAAAGGTCAATTTCTGGTCCGGTTTGGTGAAGAAAAGAACTATATATACACATAAGATAGGACAAGGAGAAGTCAATTTCTGGTTTTCACCACCTTCATTTTCCTTGTATCTCACATCATTCCACATTTCCAATGAGTCTCTTAATAAGGGCAAGATTTTCATCACAACAAACCCTGAAAGTTTAAGGCAAAAGAGATAATAAAAAAAGAAGGCCTTTCACTTTCTTGAGTTACAATTCAATTAGGGGTTTCCTTTGCTTGGCCTTGTTATTGGGTGGTGCCATGCCCATACTTGACTAATAGGCATGCAAAATTTTGTCAAAACAAGGGCTAGTTTGTTTGGTAGACAAAACCCAAAACTGTCACCTTCTTGATAACTTGTTTCTTTGAAAAGGGTACTTGTTTCTTTAATGCTACACCTTAAAAAAAAAAAAAGGTGTTATTATTATAATCTAAAAGACTGAAAATACAAGGCAAGAAAGGGCATGTACTTGGTTTTCGAATTGTAGTGTCATTGTACTAACTACAACAAATATGCATATCATACTACAACACTAAAGCACATCACTTTCAATTGCAAAGACAATGTTAATAAGAGAGATTCTGCTCCTGATGGGAAGTGAACCAGAAATATGTTGACACATATATGGTTTCCCCAACATCATGATCGTTTTGATAAGGTTACTTTTAATCACATTCTTTCAAATCCCAGCTAACCTTTTGTCCCCCTTAATTCAAAATAGCCTAGGAAACATCAAAGGGATCCCCTTCCCCAACATGAACAATATCCATTTCACATCTCTACTAGAGTGTTCATGATATATAATCCAATAGTTGTTGCCCCACATGCCGGTACAAATTTTTAAGGCGAGGAGCCCATTCGTTAAATTGGATACAACTTTTCCTTGTACAAAGTTCTCGATCTGAGGAATCGTTGTGAATAGTTTATTTTGAGACGGATATATAGCTCGGAGCGATGATTGTCATGATAGTATCATGAATTGAATCACCGGGTAACTTTGAGTAACCCAAACTCACGTAACAAAAGCGAGCTATCCATACTGTGAATGGAGCTACCCATGAGATAAATTTGTCTTATATGGCTACCTGAATAAATATTTAAGAGAACAATTGGTCTGAGTACATGATTTAGCTCGGTGACAGTATCGTGAAATGTCAGCTCCTCATGAAGATGCCGTGGATTGAATAGGAAAGCAGACATGAAAAACGAGTGTTCGTATTACAAATGGGTTATACCTCATATAGCAATTAATTATCCAAATACACTATGTTTTAATGCTCCCTTATCGACGAGTATTTTTGTTTCTTGTATGAAAAAGTACACTTCAAGACTAAGTAAAAAGAAAGAAGACCTAGCTCTACACATTTCATATTACACTTGGTTGATTAGATGATCGACCCATTAGAAATGTGTGTCTCTTTCTTTTTCTCTTGTAATTCTTCCTTTCCCCAAATGACGACCAATTGTTTAAGGTAGTTATAATTCTCATACACACACACATTGGAGTCTTTCCTACTCTTACCATCATCTCTCTTTGGAAGGCCTCCCAACTAATTAAGAAGACAACCATTGCCAAATTACCAATCAACCCCACTTGATTATGTGTGGACCATTGAGTTTTCATATATTTGTTTCTATGTGTTTTATTCTTTAAGCCTAACTATTACTCTACCTTTTTTTTATACAAATTACACTATTCAATTCATTATCTTCAATTACACGTGTGGATGCTTGAAGAACATAGAGAGAAGGCGGCAGCTAGAGAGAGAGAGGGAGGTATGTGGCCATGGATTATGTGAAATGGAAGCAAGTGTCAACTTTGGCTTGGCTATGAAACAACCCTACAAGCTCTTCTCTCTTCATTTCAATTCATTTTTTCTTCTCTTTTGTTTCCCTTTTTTTGTATGTGTTGTTATAGTCTCTCTACAATAGAGTAAATGATGAATTACCTTGAGAGTGAAGAATAGGAAAAAGACAAGCTGATCATGGAGTCAAAGACAAGACGACCACCCCCCAATATGTATCCATACACATTATCCTCATCACCATTTATCTTTAGATATATACACACGTATCAATAACTTATACGAGGGGTTGGAAAAGTTACATTTTGTATTTAGATTTTTGGTATTTAAGTGATTTATTAATAATTGAGGTGGGTTATCAAGAATAAGATATAAGGTATATCTGTCATTCAAAATTTAATATAATATCAAGAATCAATTTATCTATAAAACTCTAATTATCGATGGGTGAGATATAGAAATTGCTTACCTATATCCGTTCTTTACATTATAAGCTTATATAATGAATTATATGCATCTGATACAATGCTATTTCAAATAAAATGATCAAATACATGCCAGAATCATATAATACGTAGCGTGATCACCTCCTAATCAATCTAGTCGAATTAGTTTTCATACCATACCAAAGCCTTAATGATCCATAGCTATCGTGTCTAGTTCCTAGCAATTAACTATGATACTAATATTTGATTTACTCATGGGCATTATGGGTGTATGAAATTTAATTTCTAAAAATTTATGATATTAGAGTTTTTGACAACTAAGTCTCGTGCTTGAATGTTCATGACCCTCGACATTATGGATATATCTCAATAATTCGATTTATTGAAACCAGCTGATCTATAACAAACCAGCACAATCTTTTTTTCCTATATTATTTCATATATCTTTCACTTTAAGTCCCTCTCCAAACCGTTTTGCTATCTAGACCCATCAACCAACTTCCCTCTCTTCTCTCTCTCTCTCTCTTCCCTATATTCTAAGCAAACCCCACAACCAATCCCCATCATCACGATCATCATTCCCACTCTATCAAGCCTCCTCCTTCTCCCATTTGCTCTTTGCCTCCCCTTCTCTAATTCTCTCACTCTCATCATCGTCTTCTTCACCCATTTCTATATAACTAATTCCCACATCAAACCCAGTTGGGATAGACTAGAGAGAGGGATAGTCTCACACTTCCTTTTCTTTCCACCCTTCACCAAAAGGGTCCTTCACTTCTTCTTCCTCCTCCTCCTTCTTTCATCTCATACAAAGACCAATATAACTGAGAGAGGTTCTAGAAAATGAGGAAGCCAGATGCTACTCCAGGAAAGAACACCAACACTAGCAGCAACAACAACAACAACAAGATGAGAAAGGGGCTTTGGTCGCCTGAGGAAGATGACAAGCTGATGAACTACATGATGAACAATGGCCAAGGTTGCTGGAGTGATGTTGCCAGAAATGCTGGCCTGCAGAGATGTGGGAAGAGCTGCCGCCTCAGGTGGATCAATTACCTTAGACCTGACCTCAAAAGAGGTGCATTCTCTCCTCAGGAAGAAGAGCTCATTATCCATTTGCATTCCCTTCTTGGCAACAGGTACTTTCATTTCACTCACATTTTCCTTTTAGTACTCTTCTCCCTCTTCTATCCTCTCTTTATCTTATCTCCACTTCTCTTACCTTGCTTAAATCGCCTGTTAATATTCGATGACATTCAGAACTACGTGTGTTTGTAACAGTACGTACAACTTTACGCTCCACATTTTTCCCCCGTCGGTAATGTATGTCAAGTGCGTACATATGGCTTTGATATGTTCACGATGTCAATGAATGATGAGAGGAGTCGGCAGAACCGAATATGCGCCGTTAAATAGGAACACGCGCGGGTCATGTCAGGTTTTTCAACACAGCTGCAACATCGTCAGTTAGGAGTCGATAATAATATGTAGGTTGGGTATCTGTCGATATGCTCGCCAGCTCTACTTCCGACAGGGGGGAAAATAAAACGTCACTAGTAAAGTAAATCTGTACCGCACTAATCGATGGTTAAATCTCAAGTTAAAAAGATGATAGTGTCAAGTCAAGAAAATTTCTCAACAATTTCAAATCCCCAAATTTCTCTTTCTACAACTTGAAGTTACCCAGCTGATTGGAAGTGTGATGATCATGATATTAATAATTCCATTAAGTCAACTTTATCCAACAGTGACACATCTTTTGATTAATAATAATAGTCCTTAATGACTTTGTTTTTTCAGACAGTTATCATGCTAATTTTGCCACAAACTCCCTACCTATAAGACTGACATAACGTGATTATAAAGAAAATTACTTATAAACACAAATCTCCAATTCCTTGCCTTTAACACCTTCATTATTGTTCACCAAAAGAACAGAAAATTAAACCCACTACCTGTTTTTCTCCACGTGAAAAATTAAACCCTTAATTTTTATTATTATCTTAATAAATATTCTATAAACAATAAAATCTAGCTGAAAACTGACTTGTCTTTGTCTGAAAGGGTGTTGGAAGTATGTGTCTACGTGTACACACCATGATGTATACAGTCAGCTTTTATTTTTGCTGACTAGCCCCCATATTTATGGTTGGTATAGGCTTAGAGTTGAAGTCACTCCATGCATTAATACAACCAATTAAACTACAATCCCTACAATATACGTAAAACCAGTTCATGGTTTGGGATTTAAGAAACATGACACGTATTACAAGACCACTCCAGCTGGATCAATCATTGTTTTGCTTAGTTGGCTCTGATTCCTCTTTACTTCAGTTCTGTTTTGAAGTTGGTTATACGTATACAAACAAATATAATAACAACTCAACTAGTAGTGTAGCATAAGACAAAGGAATGAGAGAAAAAAAGAACCATGCAAAATCATGCAATAATGATAGGAAAGTATACAAGGCACGTTTAATTTCTTGCTTGCTAGCTACAATTGTAATACATAGATAATACTATTGATTAATTTGTGTATTCTCTTTGTGGTTTATAGGTGGTCACAGATAGCGGCTCGTCTGCCAGGGAGGACGGACAACGAGATCAAGAACTTCTGGAACTCGACCATCAAGAAGAGAATAAAGAACATGTCTTCCTCGACCACCACCACGACGTCTCCGAACACGAGCGACTCGTCGTCCGAGAAAGACAACTGTGGGTTGGTGGGCGTGGGGGGTTTCATGTCGCCCATGTTCATGGACGTGGTCGTGCCATCCCTGACATCGACGAACTCGTCCACCTCGTCGACGTCGTCCATGGCTCTGAACGGTGGCGGTCACATGACCGACCCGTTGCAGATCCACATCGACCACCCCCACCACCACCATCAGGGTCTGATGAACGTGTATGGTAGTGCAAACGGGTACTTCAGTGGTGCTGGTCAGAATGAGATGTCTGCTCTCGATTTTGGAGGAAATCGGATGATCGGTTCGTATGGGTCAGGTCAAGGGGGGATGTTTGGAGGAGGAGGAGGTATTGGTGGTGGGATGGAGAAGGAGCTTCAACAAGTCCCACCATTGGAGAGCATAAGCATGGAGGAGAACAATGGTCCCAATAACAACATAGTCATAAGTAGCAACTTGAATAATAAGTACCCTTTTGTGAATAGTAAGAACATTAAGGGGGAGAGTAACCACCACAACAACAACAATCATCATCACCATAATAACAACTTGGGAGGAGGAGGAGGAGGAGGAGGAGGGGTGAATAACACTAATAATCTTGGCAACTTTTGGCAAGGAGAAGACCAACTCAAAGTTGGAGAGTGGGACTTGGAGGAGCTCATGAAAGACGTTTCCTCCTTCCCTTTTCTTGACTTCCAAGTCGAATAGTACATCCAAAGATGAAGAAGAAGACAAAGACCAGCTTAAGCTAAGGTTGGGTGGGAGCGGCTTGTAGAGTATCCGCGTACATTTCCTTTCGATTTCCAATTGTTTCGTTCTCGAGATATACATATATTCTTAATTGTCTCTTGTCTTTCTCTAGAAACATAGAAAAAGAGGCAAAGTTTTCTTTCTTTCTTTCTTTCTTGTGTATAGTTGAGTCGTCAGAAGATGAAAGTAAGTAGATACCAAACTTTTGTTAAGGTTGTAATAATGATGGCGATGAAGGTATAGCATGCACAATGGTTGTTGTTGGTGACATGGTACATAATCTTCAACGTTTGTGTGTCGGTAGAAGAATATTGGATCAAGAGCTTTGTGAAGACTTCGTGGGGGGAGAGAATATATAATTAGCTAGGTTGGTTATCGTTAGGTTCATATGAAGATGTATCATGTGGAATATCATATGTATAAAACGTGACATTTTTATCATATTGATGTTTTGTACTATTGCATTTCAAATGCTTTATAAATCTCAAGAGCTCCAATTCACCAAGTGAATCAAAGAAATAACATCTTATTACAATCACCTAGCCAACGTAATGCTTTTAAAACTATCATGTCTAGCCAGTGTACCTCTGTAAGAAAGTGGTTAAGTACTATAAATGGGCTTATCCTAATAACTCGAGTTATTGGGCCCAGTTGGTTATGACATGGTATCAGAGCCTGGTTTGTCCTTGAATTGTCACGTGTTCAAGTCCTCACGACCCCCAATATTAACCGTTGTCTTCAAGCACATGGTATGCCGAGTCTGTGCAAACTTCAAGCTCATGAGTTGGCTTTCGTTAGAGGGGACGTGTAAGAAAGTGGTTAAGTGTGTCATACATGGGTCTCTCACAATAACTCGAGTTATTGAGACCAGTTGGTTTATAACAACCTCAAAGGCACATAAACAAGAGCTTTGTTTTGTAGTATCGTCGCTAATTTTCGACCTAGAGATTACAGGTTCAAACTTTAGGCTAAACTTTCCCTCCTTTAACAGACCTCTCTTCAATAGCATGTAAAAAACGCAAGATTTCTAGCTCATGAGCCATGATACTCTCGAGTTTTTATATTAATTAGGTTAGTTAAGCAAATATTGAGCAAGTGGTCATTCCTTTTTTACTGAGGTAAAAATTGAATCGAATGATATCATTTGTTGTGGCCACTTGAGGGATAACACGCAAGTCACCCATAATTAGTTATTGCACATTTTGGTCACATTGCTTTAGTTGCAAATAATTAATGCATCCCCTTCTCACTCATTCTCTCTCCGTGTAACGTTCATTATATTTAATTAATGGTTTTTAATTACTTTCATAAGTTAGTTAGCCTAGCTTAGCTAGCTAAAATGTCTACAAATGATGATCATGATTATGATTATTAGTTATAACCCTCACTTCATTCAAAGCTACCCTTTCATTCTTTTGACTTTTTACTTGCTATAACTGTCTAAACACTACAGATTAAAGTCAAATTGATCGAGTGAGAGAAGGGGGAAGGGATGGATGGAGGCGGTATTCGGAATGAGCAGGGTCGAAAAAGAAATTACAGCAACTTTCGAGAATTAAATATAGATCTTAAAACGTGGCACAACTTGGTAGTGAGAGAGCGCGCTAAAGTATTAATATTATCAACTACTTTATTTGACAAATTTGTTACAAAATTTACATGTACTTTTACCTAAATTATAAGTCCAAATGTAACTTTGAAACTGATCTTGCAGGCAACGGCTCGATGTGGCCATAATTTTACTTTCTAGTATTTGCTTAACACGTGAACACACGTTGTAACTTCAACCCACATATTAAGAGGAGGGACTGAAACTCCTCCCGAAGTAAGAGAGATGAAGCCATGATATAGATTGAGCAGCGTCTAAAATGAAGACACGAAACTTTTGAGAAATAAACTTAAGATTTTGGAGGAGACCATGTGAGATTTTCATTATTCTTTCAATTTTCATTATTTGCTCATCATATGATTACACATTATATAAGTTCAAAATCAAGCGTCACAAATAGATCCAAACTCCTGTGAACTCAGATTTTGGAGAAGACCACTTGAGATTTTCGTTATTCTTTCAATTTTCATTCTTTGCCCGTCATATGAATACACATTATATAAACTCAAAATCAAGTAAAACAAATAGACCGAAACTCCTCCTAAACTATGTGTAACTTCACCATCCAAGAGAGGGAAAAAGAGAAAGGTATCAAATAGCTTGTAATCAAAAGAAGTTGGGAGAGAGCTATGGGAGGAGAGGAGGGTAAGAGTGAGAAGTAAAAGTGAAGCAAACAAAAAGCTTCTTTCAAGCTGCGGCAGCCCCTTCCTATCCCTCCTTTATTCATCAGGGTGGAAAAAAGATATGAAGAAGTGTGACATAAGAGAGAAATTTGAGGAAAAGGTTGTGTCCTTTTTTATAATTATTGCTCATTTCCAATCACTTTATAGTGTACTTAATTCATTTTTTTAATTGAAGCATATGAGACAATGAGAAGAGGAAGAAGGACCATATTTTTTTTGTGTATTTTTTCATAAATAATGGATATTTTTTCATAATTATTTAGCATATAATTTGTTATTGGATTTGAATCCATGCAAAGTCTTGATAAAATTGTAATTAATTGATGCTTTTCTGTGCCCATATATTATGGGGTCAAGACAACTACATAGACTAATAATCGGGTAATTGATCAACTATTTACTTGAATTTTCTTTAGTACAAATCTGTTATTAATGGTTTGGAATGACAAACGTAATAGTAATCATGTTCAAGTTGTGGATGATTTGTTAGGATTGGTTTTTGTTGTTGTTATCCTTTGGATCATGAGAAGTAGGTTTTGGTCCAAGCAATCTTCTCAAGCAACTCTTTTTTTTTTCCTCATGAGGTATCGTAAAATTCTTTTCGAAAGAGGGATATACCTTATATATTAGACTCGTGTTAGCCATGAGAACACGTCATCCGTCATAGATAAGAAATACAAACATATATTAAACTTTATGAGCTACACAGTCTACATTCTAATTCGTATATTCTTGTAAATGGTCATCTGCTTCAAGGCTCGAACTCACACTATAACGAATGCGATCATCGCCACGTCACTGCCAAACCATACATCCAAATATTGCAATCCTAGTATTGGTTGAAGTCTATTTGCAAGTATTAGGCCTGCAAGTTCAGTTCGTTTTCTAGTTTACTGAAAGTCAAAAAGCGATGATAGTCTTGTCTTATCGGATTGTGCTATCGGGTTGGAATCGAATTAGCCATATCGATTTAGGACAAAACTGAAAAACCGAATTGGTCGAATAAGATTTCAGATAAGGTAGAAATTTTGTAACCCACTTCGTTTAGTTTTTGGTTTACTCTAACTGAAACCGATAAGTTCCTTAATGATTTCGATTTCGATATTGAGGAAAATGCTTATTTCGGCTTTCCTTTTTTGTTTAGTCTTCTGTTAAGCGAATCGGCACCCCTCGCAAGTACTCTTCATCTTTCTTTGTTCTCCACAAATGCCACTTCTAACAAACTAATTAGCCATTCATTAACCTCAAGATACAAACTTAGAGCAAATTCAAGTCCCCTCCAGCACCCACCCTTTATTATCCATTACCATTAATTGGTGTAAGGTGTTATTAAGCTACCCATGTGCTTTGAATTCCATACTAAACCACAAGTTTTCCCCCACCACTTTCAAAATATGGCTAATAATTACACAACATGACGACAAGGAAACATCTTTTTGCATCAAAAGGAAATGCATGCACAAAGTAATCAACAGAACTTTGAAAGGAAAGGAGAGGAGGCTCTTATCATTTTTCTTCAACTCTCAATTTGCCCACCAAAAACCAGTTATTTTCTCTTGAGAGGGTACTACTACATGATAGAATCTGCAGAGGCAATCTTGTTAAGAGAAACCCATTTTTTCATGTCTGAGATCAGCATGATTCAAGGAGGTGACTCTCTGGTAATAAAGATAAGAGAGGGGCACTTTGATGGGACAAAGTCCAACAAATGAGTGCCTAGTGTAAGAATTTCCCCACTCTCCATCAGCAGTTCATCAGCACCATACAAAGTAATTATGGCAGAGCCTTCAACTAGTGAGCTAAAGCAGAAAAACCAGAGTGGAAAGAATGGTTAAGAACATGGATTAAAGAGGTGATTGAAGAGGAAATAAAGTTAAGGGACAAGAACACTTTATGGGTTTTGCAATTAAGCAGAGCACTTGATGGGTTTTTGGGGAAAATGCATATGACAAGAAAGGAACCAGTACCATACATTAACCCTTTCTTGCCCTCTCCTCCATTATTCTCTTTACTTTTTCTTATGCAAATTAAGTGAAACAATCATCTCAAAAGATTTGAGTCAAATTGGTTAATCAATGCCCCATTAGTCCCATGTTCTATTGTCACTGTGAGGTATACGATTAGTACTGTTAGTACAAGTGAGCTAAAGGACACTTCCAAATACGTAAAGCAGCAGCAACATCAACATCTACAGAAAGTTTAAGATGCTGTGCAGACATGAATTCTAAATAGGTAATGCATACATTCGAATTGTAAGTCTCAACTAAATTATACCCAAGTTCTCGGCAGTCTGCTGCAAAGTCCTTTTCACTAGTGAATGCCAGGCTTAAGGTAACCCTTCATTATACTTTGATCATATTTTCTAGCGTCAGAAGTGTTCACTATCGAACAATCAGACAGAAGAACGAGTACCAATTACCCTGTTGCACATTGATGATAGGGTTCAAGAACAAAGGTAGTTGCTTTAATGAAAGTAAAGCCTAATTCCTGCTGTTCTGATCCTGTTCAAAGAGCAAGGAACAAAACAAGTTTGGATCTTTAACGAGCAGGAGAACCTGTTTGTGAAAATGGACAAGAGAGACCCCATTTATCAGGCACACTAGGCGTTATTTCAAGAAATGCCCTTTAAAGCTTCATTCAACAAAAACACAACATGACTGTTTATGAAAGTACAACAAAGAACAAACATACAGCAAGCAAGAAGTACAACAAAATTTCTCAGAGTCTCCTCTGATTCCACAAAACTTCTCAGCAGAAGAAACAAAAACAAAAAACCTTAACCATCACCAACATCAGGCCTCGGTTGCAAATGCTCGTTGACATGATACACAACCCAAACATTCCTGCGATAGAGGGAGAAAAGACAAATCCATGTCAGTCCGAGGGAATGATAAAATGACAGGAATCGAGCTGACATTATGGATAACAAGTGCAACTGACAAACCTTGTATTGGTCAACGACGATCCGTCTTCCCAATGGAGCGTTTCCCAGAGAACAAATGCTTAGGTCGAAGAGTCGGGATGACTCTATCCGCCTCACCACGACGAGCATCCTTATTCCTCTTCTTACTAGCATTCCTAGCCATAGTAATAGCTTTCATCTTCTGAGCAGAATCTCTGAATCCTTCTCCAGGAACAACCTCACCAAAAGGTCGAGACACCGATCTCGATCTTGACATCGATCTCAGCCTCAGCTTCTTGTTACTTGAACCACCATCAATCTCCATACCATCCTCACCATCCCTATCAACAGACCTCTCTCTCTTCCGGCCTTTCCTGGAAACCGACCTGCTTCTAGCACGTTCGATAGCTCGAGAAGGATCGATCCCCAAGCTTGATAGCTGCCTGCCCATTCTCTCAGAAGTGAACTTCCTCTCTTTGTCAAATTTCCTAGGAACAGTGGGCCGACTTTCTGCAGTGCTTTTCTTGATCCTATGCTCTTGGATGAGCAGAATCTTCTTCTTCTTGATTGCTTGCAGCGCTTCTCTCTCTTCCGGTGTCAAATCTTCGCCATCCATCTCAAAATCTTCATCACCATCTTCTGCTTCAGCTTGCCGAACCCCTTCTTCACGTTCCAACTCCTCGAGCCTCAGCAGGATATCGGGGTCGACAAAGTCGTACACATTATGGCCGTCGAGGAACTCCGGCAATATGTCTTCCTTCCATTCCTCATTCGCCAATATGTGGTGCTTCCTCAAGCTAGCCGAGTAAACACCTGCACCACCATTCTCGTTTTCAATATCCTTCTCGGTTTTTCTTCCCTCCTTCTGAGCTGCCTCCAAAGCTTTGGCTTCCAAAACAGCCTGGGGGATACAAGCAGGTCTTTCCTTTTGGTCACGTGGCTTTGGCATTGCAACATGGAAGCGATTCAAGCAGTCATTCATCTTCTTGGATTTCATTTTCTTTTCGACTCGCTGATCTAGGAGCCTCTCACAAGCTGCATTCTTCACAGCCATCACGCCTTCCTCGGTCAATGTGCTCATGGTCAGAAGGAAATCATCTGCAGAAGCAGCTTCACCTCCTTGACTCTTTGATGCTTCAGATTTCATCTCCATCACAAGCTTCTTGTCCCCTTCATTCAACCCTTCCAGCGGCTGCAAATCAGTTTTGTTGCAGACAATGATCAAAGGCTTGTTCGAGAATAACTCCTTGATGCTGTGGAATAATGCTGCCTGTTGCACAATGCTATAGCCACATGAACCTGAGAGGTCCAAGAAAAACAAGATAGCAGCTCGAAGATGAGCTAGAGCTGTAATGCTGCACATCTCGATGATGTTCCTATCCTCAAACGGCCTGTCCAAGATCCCAGGTGTATCAATCACCTGGTATCTCAAATACTTGTAGTCGGTATGACCCACAAAGAGCGACTTGGTGGTGAAAGCATATGACTGGACATCCACATCAGCCCTAGTGATCTTGTTCATGAATGAGCTCTTGCCGACATTAGGGTACCCACAAATCAAGATGGTTCGGTTATTTGGGTCAATTGAAGGAAGCCTCGCCATATGCTGCCGGACCTGTTCGAGGTAAGCCAAGCTCGGCCCAATTCTCTTGATCACAGTGCACATGCGTCCAAGTGCAGCAACTTTCAACGACTTGCACCTGTAAAGCGAGTCACCATATTTCAAGAGCTTGACATAGTCCTGGGATATCTTGCTGATGAGGTTTTTGGCTGTGTTGACCTGGCCAAGGGCAAGCTTGTAATGGTCCTTGTTGTACAGGACATGGAGAAGGTCACCATAGAAAGGATGGATATCACCCAGCCGAGGGAAATCGTCGATAATTTTCTGGAGCTTGTCATGAAAATTTGATTGGGTGTACTTGACCTTGCGCATGTAGAACTGGCGAAGGCGGGAGATAGCATATCCCTTGTGGACAACTGTTGGTGTAGTCCGTTGCGTTCGAGACAGAATGATGTCGATGAAGGCCTTCCCATTTGGGACGACAGTTATCTTCTTGAAATTGTATTCAACCATCTTATTAATTTATCTGCATCACGCCAACCAGGTTAACATAATCAGATTAATCACCATATTGCTTAAGCAAACGAAAACGAGCACTTACACCCAAGCTACAAAATGTACAAACAGAGCCACCATGACAAACATCATGGATACACAATACAGAGAGCAAATCAAAAGTATGAGCATCCAACATGAACTCTACTAGATAACAAAAATCCAAACAAACAAGAAAAATAAACCAATATTTCCACTCCAGAAATCAAAGCAAGCTATTTAATTTGCATCTACTTATGAGACAAAGCTACAACCTTCTAAATCACAGCGAGATGGAATGGAAATGAAGGTTAAGGTAAACTAAAACCAACTAACCAAGTACTTTCACGATGAACACATCAAATCGAACATCTTAATTTGGACCCCATAAATTACAGAGTTCTCCCCGAATTCAATCGCAGCCAACATAAATTCATCAACAGCAGAACGGAAGTGACAAAAACTGCCAAGGCAAAGCTCACTTACAACGAAACCGAAAGATTCAAGCTTTGCAGAGAAAGGGGACTCACTTTTGAACCTGGCGGCCGGCAGTGTAGAGGAACTATCGCAGAGGTGTCCTAGCCGCTAAAGGGAGCTATTTCATTCCTCTAGGGTTTAAGACAAGAGGAGCAAAAGAGAGGGAGATGGTTTATAGGGTTCGCTATTTTGTTGATTTCTGCAATGACTAGAATGCCCCTTCGCTTACATCCTGCGGTTTGTATGGGTCCTGGGCTCCTGGCTGAACCGATCGAGTGAGTCAAAACTTAAAAGATGCCGCCTTTCCTCGATTCGCCGCCTTTCCGTGAGAAATGGTCGCCGGCGGCCTCATCCACCGGAGATGTTGAAGCTATTGGCTGGCCGGACAATGGTCTCCGTGACTGCTCTGCTTCCATTTCTCTTCCATCCAAAACCCTTTTCCCGCCTTTCAACAATGATTCAATGAAGCTGCTGCCCCCAATAATTTGTCCCTCTCGCCTCATTTTCCTCCAAAACACTGTGTTTATACACTTATACTCCTTAATTTCTCAAATTTCGCATCGAAGCTCGGAGCTTTCTAATGGAGCAAGCTTTGATCCTCACTACACTATTTATCTTTTTTACTTTTTCGGTCTTCAAACTGAATAGGAGTTGACAAGCTTAGTGACCAAATTGGTATTTAACATTCAGTCCTCTGCCTTTCCAATCGTCGCGTCTCCAAGTGGATAAAGATAAACCTCCCTTGCGTTAAACCGCTCAAAAACCTCCCGACCACCGGCGGTAGTAATGTCCACAGTCACTGCCACGGCTGCCTTGTTCGCTGCAAAACCCTTCGCCATTTCTGCGTCGTTTCCTTCCCTTTGCAAGCTTTCGATTCCCTTCGTTTCGCACAAGTTTCTCTCCTCCGCTAAAGCTTCGTTCTTTCCCTTGCAATTCCCTCGCTCTTCATCTCCACTTCCCGGGTTAATTTCGTGCAAATCCTCCATAAAGGATGACCAAGAAGAAGTAGCTGAAGCAGACACTGAGGCGGGCCAGGATTTTGATGAGTCTGACGGAGAGGATTACGAGTTTGACGTGGATGAGCTCGAACAGGAAGCTAAAGTTGCAGTCAGGGAGTACTCGTCGTCCTTATCCCGTGAATTGATAATCGGTGAGTTCTTTCCTCGGTTTCTGATTCAGGTTTTGGGACATATTATGAAGTTCGCTCATTTTTCTGTTGCTAATTTTTGTTTGCAGACGATGAGGCTGATACCAGAAAGGAATCGAGGAAGCAGAGGAGGAAGAAGCTCACAGTTAAAGAGGTTCGGTTCTTCAGTTTGGCCTTTTTCTCACTTCCTGCTTGCTGGGTTTTGATACTTCAATTGTGTTCTATTGAAAAGTTTGGATCTTGGGGCGTTGTAGAGGTTGTAGAAATGCATAGATGGTTGAATCTTGTTGTTTGGATGAGTGATTTGGAGTCTGAATTGTTGATAGCATTGTTGAATTCATCAATCCGTTAATCTGCAGATTCCAGATCATCTTCTCTCGAAGCTAGCCATTGTTGGAAGACCGAATGTTGGGAAATCAGCATTGTTTAACCGCCTTGTTGGGGTAAGTAGAAAAAAAAAGGTTCAAAATTTATTGGGCCAGAAGCAGCATGAAGATGGCCCGTCATGTAATCGTGAGGTCATGCAGCCCATGCAGCCCACGAGTTCCAATCCGAGTGTTAATCGGATTACTTGTAATCGGGCATATATAAGACCCGCTGATGTAAGGCCAATGGCCGTGAAAACCTAATAAGAAAAACCTAAGTTCTGTGGATGTAGGTCTCGTACACTGCGAGGCTGAACCACGTAAAATCGTCGTGTCAATTTCGTATTACGTTCGCACTTTGATTTTTCTCATGGTATCAGAGCAGGTCGATTCAACCTGTTAGAGTGTTTGTTGCGGTCTAATCATGGGCGACACCAAAGACGAAAAGCTCATGGCCGACGCGGGGCAAACCAGCAGAGAACAAGAGGTGTTGTCGCCGTTCTACCTTCATCCGTCGGAGACGGCAAGTCAGCTGCAAGTTGCAGAGGTTTTGACCTCTTCCAATTATGGGGAGTGGGTCGTGGAGATGAGTGATGCGCTCATCATCAAAAATAAGTTAGGTTTCGTCGAAGGCACCATTGATAAGCCTACCGACGAGGTTGGAGTTCGAGCTTGGACGAGGTGTGACGCGATGGTTCGGGGCTGGCTTCGTACTGCCATGGACAAGGAAGTTCGGGGTAGCGTGCGCTACGCCAAGACCTCGCGGGAAATCTGGCTCGATCTCAAAGATCGTTTTGGACAAGGTAGCGCGTCTCGTGCTTATGAGATTCGGCGCATGGTCAGCTTGTTACAGCAAGAAAAGCTGAGTGTCTCATCGTTCTACACTCGGCTTCGTACGTTTTGGGAAGAATCGCAATCTATTTCGCCCTCCCCAAAGTGTACGTGTGGTTTATGTATATGTGGATTGGAGCGCCGAACAAAGGAGCGGGACGACGGGGCACGCCTATTTGATTTTCTAATGGGACTCGATGACAGCTTCGGCACCATTAGAACACAAATTTTGGCGACAAAGCCTACACCGAGCTTGACGGAAGCCTTCAACCTTGTGTCGAGTGATGAGCAGCAGCGGCTCATAGCTCAAAAGAGGCGCCCTCAAGTCGAAGCAGCAGCCTTCAATACTCGTGGAAGCAGCGAAGAGCACACCAACACCTCGCGGCAGTCCGAAGGTCGAGCGGATGGTCGAGAGAGGCCTAAAGTGAAGTGTACTCACTGCGGTAAGAATGGGCATGTAAAGGAGACCTGCTACGACATTATCGGGTGGCCTAGTCGGGATAAAAATTCTGCAGGAATGCAGAGTGGTGGCGGTGCGGGTCGCAAACGCCGTGACGCAAGTAATGATCGACAGCCAAGGGCTGCCCAGGCAGAGTTCGAGAGCCCAGTCGCTGGTTTTACAATGCAGCAACTAGATCAGCTGCGGGTTTTCTTTGCTCAAGGAGTGGCAGCCGAGTCTCCCACGTCAAATATGGCAGGTATGGTCTCTCCTACGCTTGAATGGCTCATTGATTCCGGGTGCAATGAGCACATCGTGTGTGATGATTCAATCTTAAGTAATGTATCTATGGATTCTTCAAGTCGGCCAGTTAAGATTCCAAATGGGGACAGTGTTCCCGTAGAGAAAGTGGGTTCGGTTTCTCTGTCTTCCGGGCTGAAGTTGGATCGAGTGCTATATGTGCCTCGTTTTCGTTGTAATCTTCTGTCGGTCAGTCGGTTAACGAGGGAGAATCAGGTTGCTTTAATCTTCCTCCGTGATTTTTGTATTCTCCAGGACTTACAATCCAGGAGCGTGATTGGGAAGGGGATTCTCCGTGATGGGCTCTACTATCTGCGTCTGTTTGATGAGAAGGAGCGTTTGGCATTTGCAGCTAGAGTTGATGAGAGTTCTGCGGTAGTATGGCATTCGCGATTGGGACATCCTTCTGGTGCTAAGATGACGCAGTTGAAGCCCCTATTGTCACCGAATTTTGTTGATGATTTAGTTCAAAATCATTGTCATTCTTGTTCTCGTGCCAAACAAGTTCGTACACCTTTTGTTTCTAGCACAATAAAGACGTCGGCATGTTTCGATCTTATTCATCTGGATTTATGGGGTGGTTATCAAATTGCTTCATTGACTGGAGCTCATTATTTTCTTACCATAGTCGATGATTACAGTCGCAGTGTCTGGGTTTATCTTCTCCGTTTTAAGTCTGATGTGGGTCGTCATTTGATGATGTTCTGCGAGATGGTTAAAACACAGTTCAATCGACAGGTTAAAGGTATTCAGACTGACAACGGTACAGAGTTTCAGACTAGAGTTCTACTTGATTATTACGCTAGTCATGGGATTCATTTTCGTACTAGTTGTACTGATACTCCACAGCAGAATGGGGTCGTTGAGCGAAAACATCGACATATTCTAGAGACGGCACGTGCTCTTCGTTTTCATGCTGGGTTGCCGATTCAGTTCTGGGGAGAATGTGTTCTTACAGCTGTATATCTGTTGAACCGTATTCCAACCAAGGCAACTGGAAAGACACCTTTCGAGGTCTTGTTTGGAAAACCAGCTAGTTATGATCACCTTCGCATTTTTGGCTGTCTTGTTTATGCGAAGGACACACACCATGGATTGCACAAGTTCGCTGAACGGGGGCGCACATGTGTTTTTCTGGGGTATCCCTCTGGGCAGAAGGGGTACCGTCTATATGATTTGGTTACTCAGAAGTTGTTTGTTTCTCGAGACGTCAAGTTCGTTGAGAATCATTTCCCATTCCGTTCGCCCGATCCATCATTGCTGCACTGGGTACCGCCACCAGTTGGCGCTGTTTTCCCTGTCGTCGAGGATGATTCATTCAGTCCTCCTTGTTCCTCATCTCGCTCGCCCAGGACCTCCCCCGGCGATCTGGATGGTTCGTCGTCGCCTAGCTCCCAAGGGGAGCTCGTGCCTCCTTCCTCTGCGCAGTCACCGCTGGATGTTTCCAGCGCCCAAAATTCACCATCGCCAGCTCCCAGCGCATCTCCTCTGCCCGTAGTCACTACTTCACCTCCGGCGGATCAGGTGCCATTGCGACGAGGTGATAGGGTCAGGTCTCGGCCCAAGTATTTGGATAATTACCTCACCGATGATCAGGTTGCTCACTCGGTGACGTATCCGTTGTCTGATCATGTCTCGTATGATCGTGTTAGCTCTGAGTATCGTGCTTTTCTCGCTGAAGTCACTCGCCATGAAGAACCTCGCAGCTTTCATGAGGCGGTTAAACATGCAGTTTGGCGAGAGGCTATGGCGCGCGAAATCACAGCCCTCATTCAAAATGGTACTTGGAGCCTTGTTGATCTTCCACCGGGAAAGCGCATTGTTGACTGTAAGTGGGTTTTCAAAATAAAATATCGTCCCGATGGTAGTATTGAGCGCTATAAGGCGCGTCTTGTTGCAAAAGGTTTTACACAGGTTGAGGGTGTGGATTATCACGATACGTTCGCTCCAGTTGCGAAACTAGTCACTGTCAGGTGTCTACTGGCGGTCGCTGCTACTCGTGGATGGTTTATACATCAACTTGACGTAAACAATGCATTTCTGCATGGGGATCTTACCGAAGAAGTTTATATGCGGGTTCCACCAGGTTTTGCTGCACGAGGTGACACCCGTGTCTGTCGTCTCCATAAGTCGTTGTATGGGCTTCGGCAAGCCTCGCGGATGTGGTATCAAAAGTTCACTGCTGCCCTCTGCGAGCTTGGTTTCCGTGCCTCCCCTGCTGATCATTCTTTGTTCGTGTATAAGCAGGGTGCTACTTTTGTCACTGCACTCATTTATGTTGATGATGTACTCCTTGCAGGTAATGACTTGGAATTCATCACCATGGTTAAGTCTTTTCTGGATCGCAGGTTCAGCATTAAAGATTTGGGTTCTCTACGGTACTTTCTCGGCATCGAGGTAGCTCGTTCTCCACGAGGTATCGTTCTTAGTCAGCGCAAGTACACCCTGGATATTCTCGAGGAGTCTGGTATTCAGGCTGCGCGTCCCAGTCTGTTCCCTGTTGAACAGAATCATCATTTGACTCGTTCATCTGGTGATGTTCTCCCCGATGGTTCTTCTTATCGTCGCCTCGTTGGGCGGCTGTTATACTTAACTGTTACTCGGCCGGATATCACGTACGGGGTGAATATCTTGAGCCAGTATGTTCATGCTCCTACACAGGCTCACATGGATGCTGCAGTTCGAATTCTCCGTTATCTGAAGCAGTCACCTGGACAGGGGTTATATTTCCCGGCTCGTGGTTCTCTGGATCTGGTCGCTTACTGTGATGCTGATTGGGGCGGGTGTGAGAGTACCCGCCGGTCCACCAGTGGTTTTTTCATCAGTCTGGGCGGAGCTCCCATTTCCTGGCGGACTAAGAAGCAGAAGGTTGTTGCCCGGTCATCTGCCGAGGCTGAGTATCGTGCTATGGCTAGCACAGTTAGTGAAGTGATATGGCTTCGCTGGTTACTTTCCGAGCTAGGTGTCCCTCAAGCTCGTCCTACGCCACTTTACTGCGATAATCAGGCTGCGCTACATATTGCTGCCAATCCCGTCTTCCATGAGCGTACAAAGCATGTGGAGATGGATTGCCATTTTGTTCGTGAACGGGTTGTATCTCGAGATATCGCGCCATGTAAAGTGAGCTCTCAGTTTCAGCTCGCCGACCTTTTCACCAAAGGGCTTGGTTCTGAGCGTTTTCAGTTCCTCTTGTCCAAGCTGAATGTTTGTGACCTCCACAGTTCAGCTTGCGGGGGCGTATTGGGCCAGAAGCAGCATGAAGATGGCCCGTCATGTAATCGTGAGGTCATGCAGCCCATGCAGCCCACGAGTTCCAATCCGAGTGTTAATCGGATTACTTGTAATCGGGCATATATAAGACCCGCTGATGTAAGGCCAATGGCCGTGAAAACCTAATAAGAAAAACCTAAGTTCTGTGGATGTAGGTCTCGTACACTGCGAGGCTGAACCACGTAAAATCGTCGTGTCAATTTCGTATTACGTTCGCACTTTGATTTTTCGACCCGCTGATGTAAGGCCAATGGCCGTGAAAACCTAATAAGAAAAACCTAAGTTCTGTGGATGTAGGTCTCGTACACTGCGAGGCTGAACCACGTAAAATCGTCGTGTCAATTTCGTATTACGTTCGCACTTTGATTTTTCTCAAAATTTGCTGCTAGCAAGTCAATGCTAGTTTTCATTTCCTGAATCAAAAGATTTTGCTTCTTGCTTTTTTGAAGGAGAACAAGGCTATTGTGGTGGATGAACCTGGAGTTACTCGTGATCGTCTCTACGGAAGATCATTTTGGGGTGATCATGAGTTCATGGTGGTGGATACCGGAGGGGTAATCACTGTGTCGAAATCAAAAAACGAGGTTATGGAGGAACTTGCTATCACAACGACCATTGGCATGGAAGGGATTCCGCTTGCCTCTAGGGAAGCTGCGGTTGCCAGGATGCCCTCAATGATCGAGAGACAAGCAACTGCTGCTGTGGAGGAATCCTCTGCCATTATATTCCTTGTTGATGGACAGGTAAATAAACAACTCCCCCTTCTCTTTGTGAGAACGAAATTGTCATCTTTTTGGGAGTGTGATATCTAAGCCTACTGAACAGGCAGGCCTAACAGCAGCTGATGTGGAGATAGCAGATTGGCTAAGAAAGCATTACTCCCACAAGTTTGTGATTCTTGCCGTCAATAAGTGTGAATCTCCGAAGAAAGGGATCATGCAAGTTTCAGACTTTTGGACATTGGGGTAAAAGTTCGATTTGCACCATGCTTCCTATGTCATCAATGAAACTTGGTAATGCATGTAGAAGATGCGAGCTTTCTTTGAGATGGATAAATTAATGCTGCTTGATATCCGTTTTTTTGCTGATCAACCTAGCTTCTCACCCCTCCCTATATCGGCTTTATCTGGAACTGGAACTGGGGAGCTCCTTGACCTTGTGTGTTCAGGACTAGCTAAAGCAGAGGTTACCATTCTAGAGTTTCCATAATTCTTTCTCCTAGTGCTAAGTACTAATGGACTACCATTCAAGGATTGCACCAAAACTCATTTCCTATCTTCGTTTACTATAAATATGATAAAACCATTTTGTAGGTTTCAGAAGATCTCCATGAAGAACAAGATGAAGATTACGTTCCAGCAATTTCAATCGTTGGCCGGCCAAATGTTGGGAAAAGCAGCATTCTAAATGCATTGGTTGGTGAAGATAGAACTATAGTTAGCCCCATCAGTGGAACTACACGTGATGCCATTGATACTGAATTTACAGGACCAGATGGCCAGGTTTGTTTATCCATAACATGCTTTGTTAGGGAAGCAGAAGATAGGAACAATGATAACTTTCATTCTACCTTGTGCTCTTCTTTGTGTTTCAGTTCAGGGCATGGGTGATTTGACCTCCCTAAGTAAACTGTTTTTGCAGAAGTTTCGACTCATCGATACAGCTGGAATCAGGAAAAGGGCCGCTGTGGCTTCTTCAGGTAGCACCACAGAGGCATTATCAGTGAACCGAGCATTTCGAGCCATTCGGCGTTCTGATGTTGTTGCCCTTGTCATTGAGGCCATGGCATGCATCACAGAGCAGGTAACTTGCTCTTTGCATCACACCATTTGTTACACCTCTCTTTTTCATATTCATATTACCAACTCTGGCTCCGTTCTGTGACGAATTTAGGATTTTAAAATAGCTGAAAGAATTGAGAAGGAAGGTAAAGGCTGCCTGATAGTTGTGAATAAATGGGACACCATACCAAACAAAAACCAGCAGAGTGCAGTGTACTACGAACAAGACGTGCGAGAGAAACTCCGTATACTTCAATGGGCTCCCATAGTTTATGCCACTGCAATTTCTGGCCACAGCGTTGACAGGTAACATCCACTGCCAAAATCGGGCATTGTGAAAATCCTGGTACTGATAATTTGACTGTTTCAAATCTCAGGGTAATTGTTGCAGCTAGTGAAGTCGAAAAGGAGAGGTCGAGGAGGCTAAGTACAGCCACATTGAATCAAGTGGTACAGGAAGCACTGGCCTTTAAGTCGCCTCCAAGGACTCGAGGTGGTAAGAGAGGCCGTATCTATTACTGCACTCAGGTACTCTTCTTAGAACTCGTACCACATAGATGTTTATGTCAAAATGGTGCAGTACAGCATTCATCTCGATCTCTTTACGACTATCGAGCTTTCAGGCTGCAATCAGGCCGCCCACATTCGTGTTCTTCGTAAACGACGCAAACCTCTTCCCTGAGACTTATCGAAGGTACATGGAGAAGCAACTCCGCAAGGATGCAGGATTTCCAGGCACTCCAATACGGTTACTGTGGCGCAACAGAAGGAAAATGGGGAAAATGGATGGTGGTGGTGGTGGGCATCTCAATTACTGTTCTATCTTTTTCAAACCCTTTTTCCTATTCCTGGTATTCACATTTGCTAAGCTGGACTTTCGCCATGCAGGCAAAGGATCAGGAGGAAGAGCACAACTGAGCCTGAAATCTCGTGGGAGAAAGTTGGCACTAACTTCATGAAAAAAGAGGTACAGACCCTTAAAACCAAACACCCGTCGCCAAAGCTAGCTTCCTTTCGGTACACTGCCCACACTAGAGCATGGAGATTTCCACAGTGAATTTACAGTTTGTGTTAATTTTCGTGAACCAGTCTGCCCAAGAGTGTTGGCTGCCTCAGTAGGACTGATGGGGGACCTGCTGCAAATTGCAATATGCTTGTACAGGGAAGCTGCTAGATAATGATAACAATCATAATTGTTGTTTATGTCCAATGATCGTTCTTCATTGATGAATGTGATTAATGGTGGTTGCATATTCATACTTCATAAATCTTATTACTTAACCATTAGTACCAAAAGTTTATCCAGTCCTTTGCACAGAAAACCCCTTTTTCTGTCAGCAGAAACTTACGTCTCATTCACCAATCGCAAGTATTGCTACATCATGACGGACAGCTCTAAATCATACATGTAAGGAGACATGAATTCAATCAAGTTAGATGAATTATAATGGCCACATGATTAGAGAGACTCTATACTGCACGTTTAACAGCTTTTAAAAACAGCCCCGTCTGGATTCTCTGGATTGAAATCAGCCACACAGAAAACTACTGTTCCATTTCCAAGTTGTTTCTTCGTCCAGCTCTCGTGTACTACCTCTGAAAGCTACTGTCCATCAGTGTGCAGTTCAGAATTCAGATGCTCTTCAGACTGCTTGAATTGCCTGAAAAATATTTCCCATCAGTGTCTCCTAATAACGGAATGGAACCCTCGTTTCGTCCAAAGGCCGGAGTACGAATGAACCCAAAAAAGAAAACGAGTTGGTTGCAGCACACTATCATTGGGATTAATGGAAGAGATTTTTTTTTTCCATGAATGGGTAAGCTTTATTCATCCGATACAATAAAAAAACAAGGTACAAATCCTTACAAAGCAGCAACTAAATCCTACACTGAACAAAATAGCAACTGCGAAACAATAGACAAAAACCAAGTCAAATCACATCCTTGAATGGTATCATAAATGCTTCATATAATATCTGGGGGTGGCATTATCATTATTTCATGTTATTCTCTCATATTGTTCTCTGACGCGAAGCGCAGCGAGCTTCTCTAGTAGTATTGAGAAGAGGAGGAGGAAGAAGAAGAAGGCAAATGAATAGTTGAAGCTCTAGAATTTTGCAGTAGCATACAATTTCGGTCTAAGTTGGTGGGGCTGCTGCTTTACTGCATATTCAAACTACCCAAAAAAAGAAGTTCAACATACAAACATCTGTTAATTTGATAATTCCCACTTCAAAAACTTTAGTATGTTGCCCCCACCCTCTTTCAGTCTTTCACATCCTTTAAAGCAAGCAACTTTACCTTTTCTTTTAGCATTAATGTTTGCTGCCCTTTCCTTTCCCTACATCACTAAGCAATCAAAAAATTCACACAACCAGGCATTTATATAATACCCAATTCTTCACCTTTCTCCATTCTCTTATCTTCTCCTCCAATACATCTTCCCTTTACAAGGTTTTCTCAACCCCCACTCTCCCCAGAAAATGATGCAAGCTCTTCCATCACCACCACCACCGTCTCTACAACATCAACTGCAGCCTCTGCCTGAAAAGGAAACCACCACTGCCATCTCTCTCAACCAAATTATTGTATCAAAGCAAGCAGGAAGGCACCAACAAAGCTCACCACGAGAGGTACTGCCATATTCTGAGACCAAGTTAGTACCATTTGCCCAGACAAGGTTATTAGCACCAAAGCAGCCAATACTCCAACCTCGACGAACCAACCCACTCATATGGTTTGGAGCCATCTTATGCCTCATCTTCAGCCTTCTTCTCATCTTCTTTGGAATTGCAACCTTGATCCTCTACCTTGTTGTCAAACCAAAACACCCGGTTTTCGATGTTCCTAATGCGAGCCTCAATGGCATATACTTCGACTCCCCCGAATTCTTCAACGGAGATTTAACTTTTCTTGCAAACTTCTCCAATCCTAATCATAAACTGGACGTGAGATTCGAGCATGTTGATATCGAGGTCTACTTCTCCAACAGACTCATAGGGACTCAAGCTCTCCAGCCTTTCACTCAGAGGCCAAGGGAGATAAGGCTGCAAGCAGTTCGAGTCATATCGAGTCTTGTCTATTTGCCTCAGAATTCCGCAGTGGAGCTTCAAAAGCAAGTACTGAGCAACAAGGTGAACTACAACATACGAGCTACTTTCAAGCTGAAGGCGATTCTGGGTCTCTTCCATTATAACTACTGGCTTCATGGTAGGTGTGAGATGGCCATCAGTGGTCCTCCAACGGGTGTTCTGGTTGCTCGGAGCTGCAACACAAATAGATGAAGAAGAATTAGGGTGTCGGTTTCCCTGCTTTATAGTTAGTTTATCATGGAAGTACTAGACCACAAGTCCTGTAACTTCCATCCTAGCAACAGAATGCAAGTATTTTGTTGAAGCAATCTGAGCTCTATTTTACAGCCTTTTCAGCCTCATACTACGCCAGCTAGCTCTCTGTTACTCATGCCAAAGAGGCAGAAACACTTCAGTAAGAGTAACTTTCTGTAGTCAATAAAACATACCTAAAGATATATTGTGTAGATCAGAAAAGTATGTAAACAGAGATACTTACAAGTTAAGGAACCAGCATCTTTTCCCCTTCTTCTGTCCAGAAAACCAGAACAAGACAAAACAAAAAGTTGTTTGCTTTAACAACCAATATTAAAGTATGGGGCTACTCAATGGTAGTTCCATGAGCATTAGAGACTATTCTCGAAACCAAGCTAATTCGGGGGATGTTTTCAATGATGGAGCCACCAACGAGAAACTATAGGATAATTATTCTCAATGTCAAAACAACGTACCGAGTTATATGGATATATTTCTATTTCAAACATTCATCTATCTCGTCAAAAGTACCTTTGATATATAGCTTTACCAACAGTTAAATCAAGTTACAACATGAGCACATGCAGCAAACAATAAATGAAGTCATTACAGTACTACATCCTTTCAAGTCCTGACACTGACTTCTACACTGAAGGATGAATGGTACCTAAGCTTGTGAAAGTGGCGAGGTTCTCATCCATAACGGTCGACCTAATATAGCACTATACTGTGAACAGAAAGGTAAGCTGAATTTAACCTGCAGCGAAAAAGAATTCAAGAGAGAACGGTACGAGGTGAAAATAGTACCCTCACAAGCCTTCCAACTCCAGGAAATTATGTTGTGGATCTAAAACTTACTTATCAACATCAGGAGCTGCCAAGGGATCATACACTTCTTCCCTCTGTTCCACCATCAGGACAGCACCTGTCAGGTTCAAGTGGTTCAGGTCTGATTCGAACCCGAGAGATCAAGAACATAAACAAAAGCAAAGAAAAAAATTAACTTACTGTGGTATTTGTGAGGTCAGTATCAGGTGCTGCTGCAACTGCCTAGACAGGTGCTGCATACTTAAGAGCTTGATACACAGCTGCACAAAATCAGTCACACTTAGTGCAAATCACTAAACTAGTCAATTCAGCTTATTCACTTGGGCTTGAAAACAATGCATATAAATGAGATGGAAAACATTGAACATGTAGAAGAAACACAATCTGCCCAAATGTTCCATTCGTGTAGAAGAACTCGTCATGAACTTATTATGAAAGCAAACTAATTATGTAAAAAGAAATTTACCTTTGGTGGCAGCATACTGCTGTTAATAACCAATGGTCTTCTTAGGTGTCTCTGCACTGATACGCATTGGCCTAGTCGAATAATAAATGCCATTCAGCATCTGGAGCACATCACCACGATTATTCTAAAGCATATAACTTCGCCCTGAAGAACACAATAAATGGCTTTCCAAAAGCGAAAACTTCTTCAACAAACAACTGAGAAAGGAATACACGAGGAGATTATAAATCAAAATTGACAGCACAGTTTTCGAGTCTCTATTTCATAACTGTACAGTGATACAATGTCCGAGCTCTGCTATGTTCGTAAGAAAAAGAGAGCTGTTTTAAATAAAGCGTGACCATCAAACCCCGACTATCCAGAACCAGAAGTTCCATTAGTAATCTTGATTGTAACGGAGATCAAAGTGACTGTCAAGTTACAGGTTAAGATTCAGAAATCACGATGTCCAAACTGCAAACAGAGAACTAATCCCTGGATAAAGACAGACATAAATCGACAGATATACGAGCTCAGTTTGGCACTATCTGGAGATTCACAAGATCAATTGCATACACAAGTCTTACAGACGTTATCTTCTAGGGTAGCATTGATATTCTGAGATAAACAGCATTACATCAGAAGAATAAATGACGTAAAAGGAAAAGGTTGGGACTTCTTTCATCCCAAAATTGCAAGTAAGAAGCAACTCATTTAAGGAGTAAAAGCAGAGTACACTGTACTATACAGGTAGGAACACAAGTAACTCGTTCTGCAATATAAGGATTCAAAGTACAATCAGCATTATTATGACTTAATCAACTCAAAAAACTTGACTAGAACAAGGGGTATGAAATGTCTGAACCTATTATCCATCTGGTAATCACCCTCATGCTGCTTCAACTTCAGCCGGGGTTTTGGCAACAATAGATAATGCGTGCAATCCACTCTGCAGCTCCTCTTGCAGCAATCCATAGATCAACCTATGCCTCTTCACCAAGCTTTTCCCTTCAAACTCCTTTGAAACAACTTTCAAGTTGAAATGAGTCTCGCCATCACTCCCCCTAACACCAGCATGCCCCGCATGCTGATAAGAAACATCTTCAACATCCAGTTCAACAGGGCCCAACTCCTTTTCCAATTTTTCCTTAATTCTAGTCCCTCTACTCCCTAAACCAGGAAATTCAGACGCTTTCACGTCTCTGTTTGATACCGAATCCTCACCCTCGCTGCTGCTGCCAACCACAGTTGAATTGCTGGAACTAGCATCGCCATTTGACTCCAACTTCGAGCTTTGTAATTCATTATGAATGCTACCCCCATCTGAACTTTGGGCAGACTCTAGCACACCCTTTTCTGCTTCAACATACAACTCAAGAGCTTTCTTCTGCATCAACTTGAGCATATTCAAGAACCCATTATTCCTGGAAGGAGTCAAACTCTGTTGAAGACCAAGAAGCACAGCGAAATCAGGGGTGACCCTCAAAACCTCTTCGACTGGCCGCCCTGAGAGACCTAGAACGAGCAAAGCAGCGAGTCCCTTGGTGAGAACAGAATCCGAATCCGCCTCGAACGACACATTCCGATCATTGTCCAAGTAAGCCCTGACCCAGACTTGAGAAACGCATCCTTCCACTTTGTTCTGTTTCGTCTTGAACTGGGCATCCAGCGGCTTCAAGTTCTTGCCGTAGAAAAGCAGCTGCTCGTATTTGGCTTTGGGTTCCTGCACGGACTGGAAAAGCTTCACGATTTCTTGGAGCTTTGGAGGGAGCTCTTCAACGGGTTGCAGAGATGCGGAGCTCGATGCTGAGATTGATGTTGGTGATCGCGATTGGTTCCTCGTCTCGATTCGCTGGAATGAAATGGATTTGGAGATGAGGAAGGGAGATGAAAGGGTGGGTTTGAATGAGGAGGAGGAGAAGAGTGAATTGGTTGATGAAAGAGCGACTGGGATTCTGGTGGTGACAAGGCGGAATGAAGACGAGACAGACGAGGACATCGTCGCCGTTTGGGGATGCCGCCGATTAGAGAATTTTTCCGGTAGGGCTTTGCTGTTTAGGCTGAGCCTGAATCAACCAACCACCGTTTTGTGAGCTGCTGGTTGGTTAAATTCACTTTTGGACACTCAACTTTGTACCTTTACAACATTCGGCAGCTCGTTTGAGAAAGGTAAGCCCATTAATGGTAAGTATGAATTGGGCCCAGCCCATTAAACAACGTGATCAGAGCAAAATGCGAGGGAAATGTTTCCCGCCATTTCCATGACTTCCTCCTCCTTCCTCCGCGAAACCCTCACACTACTACCCCTTTTCTTCCTGGTTTCCTTTTCTCTCCCATTCCTGCAAAACAAAATCCCTAAAATCAGATCTCCGCAACTAAACACTGACCCAAACACCCCAGTGCTTCAATGGCGGAAACTCGAACACCCAAAAAGCCATCAGCAAAAACCTTCAAGTCTCCGAAACAATCGTCTCCTCTCCCTCCGACGTCAAGCTTCCTCACCCCGCAGACTCCGCAGACCGCCGACCCACCCCGCCGATCCTCCCGTCGTCTATCCCTGAAGTTCGATTCCACCCCCGAGAAGCCAGTTCAGCAATCGGCGAGGAAGGAGAAGAGCTCGAGGAGAAATGAATTGATAAAACCCCCAAAATCTTGTTCTAAAACTGTGGACGCGGCGGAGTTGACTTTCTCCCCGGCGTCGCCGGAGCAATCGGAGGCGAGGAAGAGGAAAAGAGCCGATGGGAAGCAGCAAAGGACGGCGGCGAAGAGGGTTTATTACAGGAAAGTGGTGTATGACGAGGGAGAATTCGGGGTTGGGGATGACGTGTATGTGAAGCGGAGGGAGGACGCGAGCTCCGACGAGGAGATCCCTGAATCGGAGGAATGTAGAATGTGCTTCAAGACGGGGAAGGCTGTCATGATTGAATGTGATGATTGCTTGGGTGGATTTCATTTGAAATGCTTGAAGCCTCCGTTGAAAGATGTTCCTGATGGGGATTGGATTTGTGGGTTCTGCGAGGCGAAGCGATCTGGGAAGGTGGTTGAGGGGCCTAGGCCTCCTACTGGGAAGAGGAGAGTCAGAACTTTGAGGGAGAAGCTTCTTTCCAGTGACCTATGGGCTGCACGCATTGAAAGGTTTGATTTTTGTTAGTTTGTTTGGTTCGTGAGTTCTGAGTTATTTTCAGCTGTGGTGGAATAATTGTGAATAGAAGTTTTTCAGTTTGTGGAAGGAAACGGATGGAAGCTATTGGTTTAAGGGTCGATGGTATATTATACCAGAAGAAACTGCAACCGGAAGGCAAGCTCACAACTTGAAGAGAGAGCTTTACAGGACAAACGATTTTGCTGATATTGAGGTGAAGTTTAAAATGTGGTTAAGTTTTGAACAAGAATATTCACTCGAGAGTTGCTGAATTTTTTAAAGGGGAATTCTAAAAATTGTGCCTTTGTTGGATCTTTGGATGCTGCAGATGGAGTCAGTCATAAGGCATTGTTCGGTCATGACTCCCAAAGAGTACGCAAAGGAAAACGAAGGAGATGATGTTTTCATGTGTGAATATGAGTATGACGTACGTTGGAATTCATTCAAGCGCATAGCTGAAATCGACAATGAGGGAGAGGTAAAGAAAGAGGATACATGAACTGACTTTATTCCGCTTTGTGATCACTTTCAGATTTGCACGAAGTTTCTTTGATTGACTATCTGATTATTTGATAGGAAGGTGAAGATGCTGGGAGCGATGAAGATTGGAATTCGTCCAAAGACGTAGTTTCTGATTCTGAAGATGACATGGAGTATGAAGCTGAAGCTGATAAACATTTGCCACACAGAACCTCTTCAACACATGCCCTGGCTGCAGTATGTAAAATTTTGTTATTGCACCCATTTTGGTTTCGGCTCATTGTCTGGCCTTTCTAATCGGTTTATCTGGCTGTTACAGAACTCAAAGAAAGGGCACTTTTATGGCCTTCAGAAGATAGGAACCAAGAGGATACCAGAACATGTTAGGTGTCACAAACAAACTGATCTAGAAAGAGCAAAAGCAACACTGTTGTTGGCGACATTGCCCAAATCTCTTCCTTGCAGGAATAAGTATGAGAACTCAATAGTATTCATTTCTTCCTGGCTTCTCTCTGAGAAAAGTGTTGTAAATTATAGATCAATTTGATGCAGAGAAATGGATGAGATTACTACATTTATAAAAGGTGCCATCTGTGACGATCAGTGTCTAGGTCGTTGCCTCTACATCCATGGTGTTCCCGGAACTGGGAAGGTAAACCCTCCTCTCGAATCCAAATTCCCAAACTGTGCAAGTTTGTGTACTTTGCAAACAACTTAAAATCTGACTCTTTGTTGATATGAAAAATTGCAGACAATGAGTGTGCTATCCGTAATGAGGAACTTGAGGTCTGAAGTTGATGCAGGAACAGTAAAGCCATACTCCTTTGTCGAGGTTAATGGGCTAAAGTTGGCATCTCCAGAGAATATTTATAGGGTAAAAGAAGGCTCTTTGCAAAACTGCTCTATCAATCAATTTGTTGAATAATTTCATTAATTGTCATTTGACTGTTTCTTATTTTAGGTTATTTATGAGGCTCTGAGTGGTCACAGGGTTAGCTGGAAAAAGGCTCTCCATTTGTTGAATGAGAGATTCTCAAATGGGAAGAGCATTGGCAAAGGGGATGACAAGCCATGTATTCTACTCATTGATGAGCTTGATCTACTTGTGACTAGAAACCAATCGGTACTTGATACGGGTCTTTTCAGTCATTAGTTTGTTGAAGATTGTTGCATATGGATTAGCATTGGCTAGATTTCAGCTCTGAATCACTTTATGTCAACAGGTTATATACAATATTCTTGATTGGCCAAATAAGCCGCATTCTAAGTTAATCGTGATAGGTAGGTACTACTTAACGCAATTCTACAAAATGTCTAAACATTCAGTTTTGGATGATATTGATTGATTGCTCTGTTGTACACTATCAGGAATAGCAAATACAATGGATCTTCCAGAAAAGCTGCTCCCTCGCATTTCTAGCCGTTTGGGTATCCAGAGGCTTTGCTTTGGCCCCTATAACTATCAGCAGCTACAAGAGATAATTTCAAGTCGTCTTAAAGGGATCGACGTGTTTGACAAGCAAGCTGTAGAGTTTGCCTCAAGGAAGGTCAGTTCATGTGATCTCTTCCTCTGCAATTTGAATCACACCACCACTGCCATTAATGAACTTATACCACTCCAAACTTAAATGCTTTTTTCTGATGTCCAACACGTGATTACACTCTAGGTTGCCGCCATATCTGGAGATGCACGTCGTGCTCTAGAGATATGCAGGCGCGCAGCTGAAATTGCCGATTATCGTATCAAAATGTTGAGGGAAACTCCCACAGGTACATATATACAGTCGTGAGTGAAGAGAAAAGCATTCACTTCAAACTTCCCGTAAATAGCCAGTTCCTGATTGAATGAATGTATATTCCACCAATTTTCCAGGGAAAGGTATGGTTGCAATGTCAGACGTAGAAGCAGCCATTCAGGAAATGTTCCAAGCACCACATATCCAAGTAAGAAAGAACTGGTTTTTCTTACTGCCCAAGAAATGAAATTTACCTCACTTCATATATCTTCTTCTCGAGACTAAATAATTGTTCCTGCTTCCCCTGCCCCATTGCTTTTATCTCCAGATGATGAGAAGTAGCTCCAAACTCGGTAAAATATTCTTGACAGCCATGGTATATGAGCTCTACAAAACAGGGATGGGAGAGACAACATTTGAGCAGGTCCCAATTCTCTGTAGCTTTCATTTCTGGAAGTGTAAAAATAACAAACCTGTCCGTCCCATTAAAATGTTGTTGTGCTCTTGCAGTTGGCGATGACAGTTTCATGTCTCTGTGCGGGCAATAGAGAAGCCTTTCCTGGCTGGGACACTCTCATGAGAGTTGGGTAAGTTGTTACCTTATCTCAACCCAAATTTCAGTCCTAGATTTGGTTGAACTCTCCTGATGAGAAATCTTGCATGCTCTTTTTCCGGATTGCGGGCAGCTGTATGTTGGGTGAAAGCAGAATAATTGTATGTGAACCAGGAGCTAGGCACAGGCTGCAGAAACTGCAGCTCAACTTTCCAAGGTTCACTTACTGCTCCCTTGACCATAAAGCAACCAACTTTACTCTTCCACAACAGCTATGAATGGTGTTCTTAGCAGGCATTTCTGTGTTTTTATACTGTGCAGTGATGACGTGACTTTCGCACTGAAAGACAGCAAGGACCTGCCATGGCTAGCCAAGTTTTTATGCCATGGCTAGCTAACTTCATCATCTACTTATATCCAGCAATTTTGGGAGGCTGCAACTAGTAATGTACTTCGTCGAGACTGTGGTTCATCAACTTTATTTATTTATTTATTTATTCAGAACCACACAAACTGTGGTTCAGAGGCGCTATTAGATACCAACATGGGCGGCTGGAAGCCTGGAACTCGAATTTGTACTTTGTTGAGACTTTCTTGCGTTGGTTTCAAGTTTCAACACTCTTTGTAACCCTTGAGAGAGTCAATTGCATAAACGTTCTTTCTAAGTGGCCGATATATTATGGCAAATTCATTATAGCGCGAATAATCATTCTCTTACTACAAACTAAACTAAAGCACGCCGGAGATGGCGATAAAAAACAGGGGTAGTAAACCGACGGCGAGAACTGAGAATCCAAAATGGCAGATGGCTCACCACCTAATCGCTTTAACTTCCTAGAAACCAATCAATCCAGCCAGAAGAACAAACACCCCCACATAAGAACCCAACTTAAGCTCCCTCATCCTGTACCCACCACTAGTGCCATTTCCCGGAGCCGAAGCAGGGGGTGAGCCGCCGGGAGTGGAGCCAAGAGCAGGGGAAGAAGCCGGAGCCGGAGCCGCGCCACCGGTCAGTTGCAGCGTCTGCTTGGCAGCCAGATTCGGGGGCCCAAAATCGTGCTTCCCGGGAAGCCCGTTGGTAACCGTCGCCCCGACCTGCCAGACGTGGTTGACCCGATCGGCGCCCGCCGGAAGTTTCACGGAGGCGAAAATCGCGGTGGCCCCACCGCTGAGAGACTCGGCGGCGAGGTCCCAGACGTCGAACGACAGCTTCTCCTCCTTGATGCTCCCGTACGAGACGAGATTGAATGTCTTGACGACGAGGCCGCCGGCGGCGGAAGAGGGTTTCAGGGCAATGAGAGCCTGGGTGCCGGCCATGCCGGTGCCGTTCGGGTTGATCCCCCATCCGACCCAGCCGCCGTCTGCGCCGCCGGGAGCGGCGGCGACGAAGGCGACGGAGAGGGAGGAATTGGTGGCGTTGAATGTGTAGTGCAGGGCCGCGGACAGCGCCGGGAGGGATGTGCAGTTGGCGAAGATCTTGTTGTTCTTGAATTTCTGAGGCGGGCAGGTGGTAGTGGCGGAGCGTACAGCAGGTGTGCAGAAGAGGAAGAGGAGGGAGAGAGCTGCAAGAGAAGAGAGGGACGCCATTAATGGAGCTTCGGTAGAGGATAAAATGGGGAAAGGCAGTTGGGATTCAGGAAGGGGACAGGAGGGGCATCCTATTCCTATGTAATTATATAGAGGGGGAAATGGTGGATTGGGCCCTTGACGGGCCCCCGACCCGGCCCGCAAGGTGTAATCATTAAAAAGGTTGTTATCTTTTCTTTAGTCACCCGCTGGTGGGCCGGGCCCGTTCACGTCTCCAAGGATACAGCGTGATTAATTATCGACAGAAAGATGATAGATTACTTAATTAAGAGTGAAAGAACATGTCTTGTTTGCCACTTTAAATGGAAGAAACAAAACAAAAGATCAAAGAGACCGAGTTATCACTAATACCAAATCGTCTGTTCCCTTCCATTCTCGTCAGAATTTATTTTTGGGAGGTGAATACTTAAAATGTTAAATATAAAATGCAAGACTGTTGCCTGAACCGGGCTAAAAGCCCGCATTGACGGAGAAAGGCCCAAACCAGAGTCTTTCTTACTTCTCCTGCCGCCTTATCTCAGCCGCCCAAGCGCGGGAACCATCCGGCCGCCGGCTACCTCATCCACCGCAGATGTTGAAGCAATTGACTGGCCGGACAGTGGTCTCTGTCACTTCTGTGCTTCCATCTCTCTTCCCTCCAAAACCCTTTTCCTGCCTTCCTCCAATAAAGCTGCTTCCGCCCAATTCTTTGTCCCTCGCTTCTCCTTCTTCATCCAGACCACGGTTCTACTCCTTGGTTTCGCAAATTTCTCATCAAAGGGGGATTTTTGATGGAGCCAGCTTTGATCCGTACTATTTATCTTGCTGTATGCCTGAAAAGCGCCTCAGAGTTGCTGTTCTGCTCAGTGGGGGTGTGGATAGTAGTGTCGCTCTTCGGCTTCTCCATGCTGCCGGCCATGAATGTACTGCCTTTTACCTCAAAATCTGGTTTCAGGTACGATGTTGTCGTCTTTTGACTTCTCAAGTTCGGAAATTTGGCCTCTTTTTGCGCTGGTTCTTATGTTGACTGGAATTTTTGTGTGTAGGAAGACTTTGAGAACTTTTGGTCAGAGTGTCCTTGGGACGAGGATTTGAAGTATGCAAGAGCTGTTTGCAATCAGGTTAGCCAATTCTGCTGATAGTTCCTTTCCATACTGGTTGGAAAATGTAGTATGCTTTTGAGGAGTATGATATGATCTGTCCTGTTCCGTATGTTTGTGAATTGTAGTCTTTGGATTTTGTGGGATACATAAGCTGTGTGTGTTTGATCGTTAGTGATCTTATGCCATGTTTGGATTTTGTTTTTCCAGATTGATGTACCATTAGAAGTTGTGCATTTGACTGATGAATACTGGAAGAATGTGGTATGCATATTTGGTCCTTCTTACCTTTTGAATGGTCTGAGTTGATGGAGCTATGATGGAGTTTTTGGGGTATCCAAACTGAATGAGAGTGGACATGATTGTTTCAGGTGTCTTACATTATTAAGGAGTACCAATGTGGTCGTACTCCTAATCCAGATGTGCTATGCAATACGCGAATTAAATTTGGTATGTTTCTGTTCAGCTCTGTGGGCGATTCTTTCTTCATTCAGGTGTTGATTCAATGTTTGAACTTTAGTCTCTTGGGCTCATGTTGGTGTTTCTTAATATAACTCAGGTGCTTTCATGGATGCTGTGAATGGTATGGGATTTGATTATATTGCTTCTGGGCATTATGCCAGTGTCATTCACCCATCTTCAGATGAAACGAATAAGCCTTCTGTTCTGGAGTTGTCAAAGGACATGGTAACTTAAAAGATTCCCAATTCCATAAACCTTGCATCATTTCTCTGCCTTGAGTTCTAGCTGCAGTCTGGTCCTTCCCATCCTGGATTTGGTTTGGGGACCTTTGGTTTACTCTTAGTTACAAACAACTTTCATTCAACATTTCAGGTGAAGGATCAAACTTACTTCCTTTCGCATTTGTCACAAGCTCAACTAAAGCGCCTGATTTTCCCACTAGGCTGCATTCCAAAGGTTAGCGATGCACTCTTGTCTAGTGTCTTATTTTTTTTCGTTCGCATATTGTTTTTTAATTCAGATCATTTGTAGGAAGAGGTACGTAAACTTGCTACAACATTTGATCTGCCTAACAAGGACAGAAAGGATTCACAAGGAATATGCTTCTTAGGAAAGGTAAGGTTTATGCAGAGAAAAATGGTTTGTGTTTCCTCAATTTTATCTCCACCAGTTATAGTTGCAGAGTGTAGAAATGTTTGATTTGGTTTAGCTGCATTTGTAGTTGTGCCTGGAAATGTGGATTCCTTAAATAGATGACTTTTGTGTATTAAGCCATGACGCTCTCTCGCCCCCCTGCTCTGGACTTTAAGGCTTCCGTTCTGCAGTTGTTCATAGCTATATTCATCTCCTATCTATTTGGTGTGTTTGCAGATCAAATTTAGTGAGTTTGTTGCGAGACAGATCGGGGAGAAAGAAGGTATCATACTAGAAGCAGAGACAGGCGATTTCCTTGGTATGCATAGAGGATTTTGGTTCTACACAATTGGTCAGCGACAGGGTCTTCGACTTCCTGGTGGTCCCTGGTACCTTCTCATCCCTTTTATTTGTAGAAGTGGTTTATTTGTTCACTTCCACATGATAATTCACCTTCTGCAGGTATGTTGTTGACAAGGATGTTAATAACAATGTAGTTTTTGTCTCAAGAAACTACTTCTCCATCGACAAGAACAGGCGATCATTTCGTGTTGGCTCGCTGAAATGGCTTAGTGATAGACCTCCTCAGGAAACATGGCAGCTTCAGTGCAAGGTCAGGCATGGACCAGGGTTCTACAATTGCAATGTGACTATAGAGCAGAGTGAAGATGAAGATGAGGAAGTTGCAGTTGTCCAGTTGTCGGAAGATGATCAAGGTCTAGCTGCAGGGCAGTTTGCAGCCTTCTACAATGGAAGAACATGTATAGGCTCTGGCGTGATATCGGAATCATGGGATGATCAAGGCTTCCCTGTCTGTGAAAAGGCCATGGAAATAGCTAAACTAGAAGACAAATCAAAGCTGGGGAAACCAGTTAAGATAAAAGTGAAGCCAGAGAGTCCTTTGGAGGACGAATCTGTTCAAAAAGACGGGACAGAAATAGAAATTGCAGTTGGGAGCTAAGCAAATATCCAGTGTCAGGGACTGATAAAATTCTGGCCGACCTAATAGAAACAGATCAATTGAAGAATCTGAGAACCTTTGAATCCTGTCCTTTTGATTTAAAAAATGTTATTCTTGTATCATAGCAGAGTATTTGAGCTAGCTAAGTCAAGAAACCCTACCTGTTGAGTGTACTGAGCATAACCAGCATATCCATTGTAAGCAAAACCCTAAAAACCCTGAATTCAACGGCTGCACTTTTGCCAGTCTTCCCAGTCTGCAACTGCTAAATACATGAATTCCTATTTGAGAGCCAAAGGTTCTGAAGCTTCGATATTGTGCCCAATGTCGTAACCTAGTTACAAACTAACGTGTGCATGTCCAAATGTCAAAACAACGTACCGAGTTATTTGGATCTATTTCTATTTCAAACATTCATCCATCCATCTTGCCAAAAGTACCTTTGATATATAGCTTTACCAGCAGTTAAATAGAGTTACAACATGAGCACAGCTAACGATAACTGGAGCAATTACAGTACTATTCTTTCCAGTCCTGACAACTGAACTACACTGAATGAGGGATGGTACCTAAGCTTGTGACGAGGTTCTCATCCATAACGGCCGACCTAATATAGCACTAGCATGAACAGAAAGGTAAGCTGAATTTAACCTGCAGCAAAAAAGAATTCAAGAGAGAACAGTTAGAGGTGAAAAATAGTACCCTCACAAGCCTTCCAACTCCGGGAAATTAAGTTATGTAGCTAAAACTTACTTATCGACATCAGGAGCTGCCAAGGGATCATACACTTCTTCCCTCTGTTCCACCATCGGGACAGCACCTGTCATATCCTGAGCACCTTCCACCTGAAACAGAACCCACATGGGACACGATGTAACATTCACGCAAGAATAGCCAAAGCAAAATTCAGAGAGCTATCATAATAAGCCCTTCATGAGATAATCATATATTGCTAGGCTGCACCGCTGAAGAGTTTACTGTAGCATAATGGAAGTTATGGATCCTGGGTAGCTGCATATTGAGCTAAGTTAAGAAACCCTACCTGCTGAGGATACTGAGCATAACCAGCATATCCAGCGTATGCATATAGTGATGGATCCTGAGTAGCTGCATAGCCATATGCGTCATAGCCTTGTCCATAACCATAATAAGCACTCCACTGATCTGCTTGTTGGCCCCACGTAGCGGTAAGGTCCTAGCAAACGATAGAAAATGTCATCAAAGACTCTCAGAGACTGAACAACCAACATAACAAAGTTACGGAGCTTAGTCCCTCTTTCCAGTTGAACTGTGTTTAAATAAAGGCAGCATGTATAACTTAAATGCTAAAATAATGTCTGCAATGAAGACGCTTTGTATCATCTGAGCAAAAGTAGTACCTGCTTCTTGCCCCAAGATATACGAACTGACTGCTGACCAATGATATGACCCTGCATCCTTTGTATGGCTTCTTCTGCAGAAGGTCTACAGGAAAAAAATGGTTGCATGTCAAAGGCTGTTTAACCAATGAAGTGAAGTGACAATATAAACTCTCTCCACCAATGATGATCAACTACAGAAAAGAAATGACTCATGTTTCTACAAAAGTGACTAACCGAGCCGCGAATTGCACAAATCCACATCCTCTGCCAACAGGAATTTTGACATACACAATCTCCCCAAGCTGTGAGAACGTTTGCTTCAGTTCTTCTTCCGTGACAGCAGGATCCAAGTTACCAACAAAAATCTGCATGAGTACACCACAGTAATGGTAAATTAACTCAATTACTTTCCCCGTCAGGTGACAATGTTCAAGTGGTTCAGGTCTGATTCAAAACCAAGAGATCAAGAACATAACCAAAGGAAAAGAAAAAAGTTAACTTACTGTGGTATTTGTGAGGTCAGTATCAGGTGCTGCTGCAACTGCCTGGACAGGTGCTGCATACGTAGGAGCTTGATACACAGCTGCACAAAATTAGTCACACTTAGTGCAAATCACTAGACTAGCCGATTCAGCTTATTCACTTGGGCTAGAAAAAAATGCATATAAATGAGATGTAAAACATGAAACATGTTGAAGAAACACAAAATGCCAAAATGTTACAATCATGTAAAAGAATTCTTCATGAACTTGTTACGAAAGCAAAGTAATAAAGTAAAACGCAGTTTACCTTTCGTGGTAGCATACTGTTGTTGATAACCACTGGTCTTCTTAGGCGTTGCTGCACTGATACGCATTGGCCTAGTCGAGCAATAAACGCCATTCATTTCCGACATAGCACGGTTCCTCTCGTTCTCATCTCCGAATTTAACGAAACCATATCCCTTAGACCGCCCGGTATTTGGATCAGTCACAACCTTAGCTCCTCGAACAGAAGTATATTGAGTCCTAAAAGTCTCTTGTAAGAGATAATCTGTAACGTCGGGTGCTAAATCCCCGACGAAGATAGAATGCTCCGGCCCTGCCTCAGGACGCCTCTCTCCAATCCCGAATGAAGCCCAGTTCAGCCTGAAAGTTAGTTCAGTCCCTGGCATTTGCGTTCCGTTATAGGATTGCAGTACCCTTTCAGCTGCCTGATGAGAAACGAACTCCACAAACCCGTAGCCCTCTGGCTGGCCAGTCAACTTGTTACGGATGATTTTCACCGAAATCACCTGTGCCATATTCGCAAGCAATTAGCTAAAAAATTCACAAAACCGCAATTATCAGAAACTCTAATTTCATAGCCTCACAACTCACAACATAACCAATTCAAACACAAGCTCACAACTTTGCCTTTTCAATTCCTAGTAAAAGAACCGAGCTGAACAAATTGCAGAACCAAAGTAATACAACGCTTGTGCAAGAGAGACATACCTCGCCGGTGTGAGCGAAGCAAGAACTGAGGTAGTTCTCATCGACCCAGTACTGCAAATCGCCAATCCAGAGAGTTCTAACTTCTTCTAGGGTCGCCGGTTGATGGTACCCACCACCGCCTCCGTGCATCGCCATTGGTGCCGCCATTAATGCCTCCTACTAACGCTGCTGCTTCTTCTTCTTCTCCGTCGTCCTTCCTTCTTTCGGTTGCTGTCGACGCTTCTCTTCGATTCTCTCTGCTTCTTCCTCCCCGTTTTAGGTGTTCCTTTCCTCCCGCAGTTACGAAACCGTTACCGCGCTTCATATGGGCTTACAAGCCTATCAAGCCCACAAGTTCAAGCCCGTTACTCTTAAAACCCATACACGTAATCTGTCGGCCCGGCTCGTCCGGCCCAAGTATCAGGTCCAGCCAGGGTGTATATCATATGGGGATATGAAGGCGTGAGCTGGCTGCGGCAATAGGGGAGAAAGAAAAAAAAAACGAACTTACAACGGTTTTGCGCGCTTTCTTCTCGCTGGCACTGTTGCTCTCAAATCAATCAAATCATTCTTCCAATTCTTCTTCTCCCCCGTGATTCCATCGATTGATCTGTGCGAAGTCCGCTGGAGTAAGCAAGTAACCATTTTTATTTTCTAACTAGAAAAATGGGGTTTCCGGCCGCTCTTGCTATTGTCCTAATCGGAATCGTCTTCTTCGCCTCCGGCCTCGTCGTCAATCTCGTTCAGGTAACCCGTCTATTAAGAGATTCTGTTATATTAAAGATTGAATCTTGAACTCATTGCTCGCCCAATGCGTAATTTGGGTAAATCGATGAGCAAGTCAATTGGAGCTCGTGTTTTGTGGATTTCATCGCTGTTGCTAATTTGGATCTGGGGTTTAAACTTGCTGCAAATTTCAACTGTCGTGCAACATTGTGTTTCTTTCAGGCGGTTACGTTTCTCCTTTTCCGTCCAATTTCCAAGGCATTGTACAGAAGGATTAACAAAGTGGTGGCGGAGATGCTGTGGTTGGAACTCATATGGCTGGTTGACTGGTGGGCTAATTTGAAGGTAGAACAAAGTTCTTGCTTTTGCTTTACTTGGATTGGTAGTGGATGAACATGAGAAATCTGGGTTTAATGTTGAGATTCAAAAGTCTTAGCTGTTTCTTTTCACTTTATGTTTGATCAAGTTGCCTGTTGGGTGCTAACTAGAAACTGTTGGGCTCAGGTTGAAGTATATGCAGATGATGAGACCTTTAACTTGCTGGGTAAGTAGAAAATGTTTAATGGTGATGAGTTCCTTATGTTAATTTTGGATGGATATGAATTCTCAGTTGACTGGGCTTGAAAATTTGTTAATCATACTTCATTTTTTGGAAAATTTTCTGCAGGTAAAGAACATGCCATGCTCCTTTCCAATCACAGGAGTGATGTTGACTGGCTAATTGGATGGGTCCTTGCTGAGGTGCTTACTATAACATTCACGGATTTGTTGAATGATAATGATATGTTTCTAATGATGTTTGTGAATCACCAACTGATCCACTGGTGATGTTTCGTTCTTGCTTCTGACGGAATATTTTGATCAACAGCGCTCTGGTTGCCTTGGCAGTTCACTAGCCCTCATGAAGAGAGAAAATAAATGGCTTCCTGTAAGTCCTCCATTTAATGCAAGCTCATTGTTTCCTCATCTTGAATCATGTTTTGATTGTTATTGAATTGGCTACTATTGTTTGATGCATAGATAATAGGCTGGTCAATGTGGTTTTCGGATTATGTGTTTCTTTCTAGAAGCTGGGACAAGGACGAAAGCACATTGAAGGTATCTCTTACCAGGGAACAATACGAGAATTCATTTCGTTGCACCTTGTTCCGTTTTTTTTTATCCACACTGATATCTTATGGGATTCAGGACTCCAGTTGGGTTTTGAAAGGCTGGTGGATTTCCCCATGCCTTTTTGGCTAGCTGTTTTTGCAGAAGGAACTCGGTTTACTCAGGCAAAGCTAGAAGCAGCTCAGGAATTCGCTGCTGCGCAGGGGTTACCTATTCCTAGAAATGTTCTGATTCCCCGTACCAAGGTAAAGGATCTCTTACCAGATCCTTTGAATATCATTTAACCCTCACATTTATGTCTCTCTCATATGATCGATTCGCGTGAATTTTTTCCAGGGTTTTGTATCAGCTGTAACTCATTTGAGGGCATTTGTTCCAGCAATTTATGATTGTACAGTTGCTGTCCCAAAAGATCAGCCCTCGCCCACTTTGCTAAGAATGTTTAGAAGACAGGCTTCCGTGGTAAATTCTAATGACCTATTGATCAGTATTTGACATATTCACCAAGCAAATGATCAAATGGCACTAAAGATTTTCCGTCTGATGCATAATCTATTGCAACTCTCTTTGACAGATAAATGTGAAAATTAAGCGACATCCAATGCACGAACTTCCTGAAACAGCAGATGGCATTTCCCAGTGGTGCAAAGATCTATTCATTGCCAAGGTATGAACTTCATTTGAAACCCATAATAGTTGCTTCTGCTGAAAGCATCATCAACGCTTGCTGTTATCCATCAAATGTAATACCAAAACTCTTTCTCCTGTGAACCTTCCAGGATGCTGCTTTGGATAAGTTTCTTGTCAAGGACACCTTCAGCGAACGAAAGCATGACATCGGGCGACCAAAGAAGTCACTATGTGTAAGAACATGCCACCAACCGACGACATGCTCTTAGCTTTTTCGTTTCTCTCGGTTCCTGATCTAGATTCCTCTGCATATGAGCAGGTTGCTATTGTTTGGTCGACTCTACTAGTCTGGTCCATTGCCAGTTTGTTCCAGTGGCTATCGCACCTAGGCTCGTGGGTAGTCATTGCAATCTTGGTTACTTTACTGGTAATCATCATGATCGGAATGCACATTCTCATCCAGTCCTCGGAGTCGGAGCACTCTACACCTGCACGAAATGTGACAGTAGTCTGTGATGGAGTCCAGGATAAACTCATTCAGAATTGAACCAGCAGCTGGGGCAAGAAAAAGACTTCTGCTTTTCAGTAAATGTTGTCCATTTTAGTCTTGTTTCAGTCGAATCATTGTTAATCTTGAACAGCTCAATGAAAATTCAGCTATGGGGTTGTGTAAAAGTCTTGTTCTTTATCCATCAGAAGCGTTTGAAGTCAGGTTTTTTAAGTTGCAACGAATCTGGGCTCAAAGGATCTCTTCTCTATCTTTCCTGTCTGTCGTAATTTGGAACGTATGCCAACCATGGTTTGAGAATTCAATTCAATGAATTCTATACAATAATTTATTTTAAAATGAAATAAATTCTTGATTCATTTGGAAAACATTGATGACATATTCATGAATACAAACCTTGATTTTAGACTACCATCTTGATGAAATAGAATTTTTCATGTATTATGGAATGAGAAATCTTTAATATCACCTCATACGATATCAAAACTTTTGAAGATAAAAATGTAAATTGGGATTAATATATGGTGCCTTCTACTGTACCCCGAGTGAAATCCGGGGTACCGCATATTTTGAGTATGGAAACGATATCTAGAACTCGAATTAGCAGGATTTTTGGGTCTGATAATATACCCTAACCCTTAATGAGTGAACCCTAGGTCCTTATCTAAATCATAATCTATAAACCCTAAGATGGTGCATTTCTTTTTGTGCCTATATTTGGACGAATCATAACCGTCGATTATTGTTTCTAATTAAATTGATATTGGAGTATAAGATTGGGAGAATTAAGACCTAGATTTTGATCTTTAAGGGCTAGAGTATAGTATCATGTCCGAAAGATCGGTCAATTCAAGGTCTAGATAGTGTTTCATACTCAAGGTATGCGGTACCCCAGATTTTACCCAGGGTACCGTAGAACTCACTTTATATATATAGTGGCTACTTCGGTGCACTCACTTTTTTTGGTGCATTCAGTGAACCCACCTCTAAAAGTGGTCATAATACATTAAATTTTGAAATTTAATGGGTTGTATTAGTCTAATATGATGATATAACATAGAATCCCAACTAATCAACCCATTACCCTAACCTATTAACCTTCAATTTTGAATCTCAACCCAAAATCCCAAATTGTAAACCCTAACTATAAATTCCTAAACCCTGAATCATTCAAATTAAAGTGAATCTTGAATGATTTTTGTACAAATTCATGTGGTTCTTGTTCATTATACCACAAGTGATGATTGACATCGTTTTCACATGAATCGCCTGCTCAGAATGACGATTATGAGGCGGGTGCATTGAGTGCACCCAAAAAAGTGAGTGCACCGAAGACATAACCATATATATATATATATATATATATAGCAAAGGCTAGCGTACGCCCGGACGTACCCTAGCCTACCGTACGCCCGTTGAGTTTTGCTATTTAGACAATGAATTAACCGGAGTTTGGGGCATGATATTATACCCTAACCCCTAATGGGTGAACCCCAGTCAGCAATTCACTAACCCAAAGCATAATATTCATTTAATCTTGAAATGAAAATCAACGGTTTTGATTCGTCGAAATTATTGTTGATTTTCATTTCAAGATTAAACGAATCTCATGATTTGGATTAGAAAACTAGGGACTGGCGTTTATCCATTAGTGGTTAGGGTCTAGTATCATGCCCAAAACTCCGGTTAATTCATGATCTAAATAGCAAAACTCAAACGGGTGTACGGTAGTCTAACGTACGTCCGGGCATACGCTAGCCTATATATATATATGGTTGAGATGAAGCTTTTGATTTAATTAAATATATCTTGAGTTTGGTGTTCTACAATATAAGTAAGGCAAATAATTAAATCAGCAAGAGTCACTAGGAGAATAAATGGTACAATAGGCATTTTTAATGGACTTGGCTTTGGAATGGAGTGGAAAGACAAGATAGAAAGTTTGAGGAAGTTGTAGAAGCAAATGATATTAGCAATTAGAACCCTTTAGCTTGCAGACTATGTGAGATGTCACTAATGTATGAGATAAAAACGTTGGTCACATATTCATATTATAGTTATGATCCTAACACTAATATAAAGAGGTTCTCCATGAGAAGGTGCTTAATTATGAATTTGGAGCCTCCTCCGTAAATTTAGGAAGGATATTTTTGTCCTTTTAATTAATAAATAAAAAGGACTTTGTTAATTATGCTAATTGAAGAAAAATCGTTGGAAAATTTGTTGAACTCAATTATTATATTGTTAATTACTCCTTTTATTATAAGGCTGTGAGTATGCTAAAGGGAAAAAAATCGTGGGAAAAGTTTTTAAACCCAATTATTATATTGTTAATTAATTCTTTATTATAAGGTTGTGTTTGTCAATGTGGTTTATTTTTTATTTTTATTGT